CTTTGCCCAAATGTAGGGTAAGGTAAGCGTTCTGAGCATATTTAAGGTGGGCTAGGCTAAGCTATGGCATTCGGTAGCTTAGGTGCATTAAATGCATTTTCGACTTATGACTTGTGCACCTTAAGATGGTGTGGCCCCATCATAAGACAAACAACATGTGTACCATTAAATGCTTACATGTTGAAAAGCGGTCAGAAAAGGGCTTACTGGAAAGATGACATTTGACATGGATCGGAGGAGGCTGGGGGAGGTCACGTGGATATCAGAAGGAACAGCATTTAAGGTCATGCAAAGGCCCCGAGGGGACCAGCAGGAAGTCTTGGGTCCAACATCACCTTCTCATCTAAAATGGCCCTATTTAAAATTCCACGCCAGAGGGCCGGCCTGTGGCTCACTCGGGAGAGCGTGGTGCTGACGACACCAAGTCAAGGGTTAAGATCCCCTTACTGGGGCCGGCCCGTGGCTCACTCGGGAGAGTGTGGTGTTGATAACACCAAGGCCCCGGGTTCGGATCCCACATAGGGATGGCCGGTTCGCTCACTGGCTGAGCGTGGTGCTGACAACACCAAGTCAAGGGTTAAGATCCCCTTACTGGGGCCGGCCCGTGGCTCACTCGGGAGAGTGTGGTGTTGATAACACCAAGGCCCCGGGTTCGGATCCCACATAGGGATGGCCGGTTCGCTCACTGGCTGAGCGTGGTGCTGACAACACCAAGTCAAGGGTTAAGATCCCCTTACTGGGGCCGGCCCGTGGCTCACTCGGGAGAGTGTGGTGTTGATAACACCAAGGCCCCGGGTTCGGATCCCACATAGGGATGGCCGGTTCGCTCACTGGCTGAGCGTGGTGCTGACAACACCAAGTCAAGGGTTAAGATCCCCTTACTGGGGCCGGCCCGTGGCTCACTCGGGAGAGTGTGGTGTTGATAACACCAAGGCCCCGGGTTCGGATCCCACATAGGGATGGCCGGTTCGCTCACTGGCTGAGCGTGGTGCTGACAACACCAAGTCAAGGGTTAAGATCCCCTTACCGGTCATCTTTAAAAAAAAAAAAAAAAAAGATCCCCTTACTGGTCAGCTTTTAAAATTAATTAATTAATTAATTAATTAATTTAATAATATAAAATTCCAGACCAGCCCTTCTCATAACCTCCATCGTTATTTTTCTCCTTGGTCATTATCAACAGCTCACAATCCACAAAACTCACTTCTTTACCTTATTTACTGCCTGTTCCCCCCACCTCCCCTCTCCCGCCCCCATTAGCAGCTCAGCTCCACCAGAGCGGGATCTGTGTCTGTCTTGTTCACTGCTTGTGCCTGGCACATGGTAGGTGTTCAATGAATGTTTGTTGAATGAATGAGTGAGTGGCTGCCCTGCCTGCCAAGCCTCCAGGCTGACATGTCCTTCCAACACCAGCCAGCCATGCAGACAGCAGCCATCCCAGTGTGTCCTTAACACTCCGCCTGATTAGAGGTGAGTGTTCTGTGTGCCCCATACACGGAAGCAAGGTCTTCCCCAGGGGGTTTCTGGTGATGGTTCACTGACCTTGTTTTTCCTCCTTCCCTAGAGCTGAACTACGCAGAGCATCCGATCTCCCATCCAGCAGACCATGGCGAGGCACAGACGCCACCCAGAATTTCCTTTCTAGCCCCCAACACCACATGGGGCCCCTGAGGCTCCTCTGCCCACACAATGCTAAGGCAGCCCCTGCTTGGTGCACATCAGATGGGGCAGGATGGGAGGGTGAGGGAAGGAGGAAGGAGGGGAGGGTGGGGAGCTGTGAGCAACGAACCAAGCACCCAGGCTGCAGGGAGTGGGTGGGAGACACAGGAAGTTGTCCTTGTCGGATGGTTGACAGAGAAAAAAACAAGAAAAGTATGGACATGGGTGACCGGGGCCCGGCCTCCTCTTCACCCCTGCACATGCTACCTAATGTCATCGTCACCCTAATAACATCCCCTCTAGGTCCCCAACTCTGAGAAAGGTCACGCCATTTGAGTCCTGGAACTTAGGATAGAATGGGCCACTGGTGTCCCCTCCCCTGCATCATCCCTGGCTTGAGACCCCTTCAGCCTCTAGTGAAATGAGTGGTCACAGTGTCCACCTTTATTTGGCCTTCTAGTTGGAGAGTGTGACCTGGATGAAAGCAATAATAATGAGCATGTATTGCGCACCTACTGGATGCCAGGCAGTGAGTGCTTTTGATGTAACCATCTGACTGATTCCTCTAAACCTCCGTATTCATTTAGTTATTTGTTTATTTGGTGCAGGAATACGGCAGTGAACAAGACAGAAAAATTCACTGCTTCACTTCCACTTCTGGGTATATACCCAGAGCAATGGAAATCATCATGTCGAAGGGATACCAGCATCCCCATGTTCTCACAGCTCTGTTTACAATAGCCAAGACATGGAACCAACCTAAATGCCCATCAAAGGATGATTGGATAAGGAAACTGTGGTATATGTACACCATGGAATACTACTCTACCATAAAAATAGAGTGAAATTCTCCCATTTGCAACAACATGGACAAGCCTGGAGAAAGTTATGTTGAGTGAAATAAGCAAAGCACAGAGGGATAAGTACCACATGTTCTCACTCATATGTGGGAGCTAAGAGAGAAAGAAGGAAGGAAAGAAAGACCACAGTGGTACATTGGACTTACAAAGGGAGAGAACATTCCTTGGGCTACAAAGTGGAGTGGGGGGGGGTAGGGGAAGGGAGAAGGAGGTTGGGGATAATTGGGTGGGGGACACGGGGTACAGATGCAATTTGTGGTAACGGGTATGCTGTCAGTATGAATCTGGCCTTCATATCATGGGCACGAGGAGTGACAATCAGCTTTGTATCTCATGAATATTCATAATAAAAATTAATTAATTAATTTTTTAAAAATTCACTGCCTTGCAGAGCTGACCTGTGAGAGGAGAGACCCACCATAAACGAGATAAGTTAAATGGATCATGGCTTAGATAGGGCTAAGTGCTAAGGAGAAAAATAAATCCGGGAAGAGAGTAGGGACTTTTGAAAGGGAGCCCTGGCGGGGAACATTAGGAGGTAATTATTACTGATCCCATTTACAGATGAGTAAACTGAGTCTCCAAGAGGTGAAGTCATTCCAGAGGTCAGACAGGAAGAGCGAGCTGAGACTGTAACAGCATTGACCTCTGGGTAAGCAGCTGAAGGAAGGGGAAGATGAAGGAAGGGGAAGGAGAGACATCCAGGGCAGGACAGGGATGCCTGACACAGCTGCGCAGTTTGTGCACTGCACAACTCCAGGAATGCCATTCTCAGAGACTACAATGTGAATGCTGCCCCCTGGAGTCAGGAAGGACACAAAGATCACAAACCTATGCAGTGGCCTGGCGACAGAGACAAGTCACGGTTAGCCCTGAAAAACAAGTCTCTGTAGCTAATTTTCTATTTCCTGTAGCTTGCTTTTTTCACTTATATCTCAGCCACTTCCCCGTGTCAGCATATGAAGATCTAGCTCAGCAATTCTCCCAAGGGTGGTGTCTAGACATCACCATCACCTGGGAACTTGTTAGAAATGCAGATCCTGAGGCCCCATCCCAGACCTCCTGGATCACAGACTTTCAGGCCAGGTCCAGCCTTTACTCCACATGGAGCTGTTTTCAGCAGAGAAATGACATGATCTGATTTCATTTTGACAGGGGCACCCTGAGGGCTGGCGAGAGATTAGGTAAAGGGAGGACAGGAAGTGGGTTACTGCAGTCATGCTGGTGAGAGGTGACAGGTTCTTGGGACAGGGATGGTGGCCATGGAGGGGGTGGGAAAGTTTCCTTACCCATGTTCATGATAAATTTCAATAGTGGAGTCAAGGGAATTTGCCAATGAATCCACATGCCTGGAATGAGAGAAAGCATTGCCTGAGGTGGGAAGGTGGAGGAAAAACAAAGGTGTATTAGTCTGTTTCTGTTGCTTATAACAGAAATACCTGAAACTGGGTGATTTGCAAGAAAACAAAATTTATTGCTTACAGTTTCTGAGCTGGGAACTCCAAAGTCCAGGGAATGCACCTGGTCAGGGTCTTGGTAGTGGCAACACTGACCCAGGTGTCTCACATGGCAGAAAATGGAGGAGCAGAGAGAGACTAACCTCTCGTGCTCTTCTTTTTACGGCCCTCAGAACCACGCCCCTGACCACCATTATTAATCTGTTCACTATAGCATGATTTAGAGTAATTAGAGAGGGGAGGAGGAGAGAGCGGGGTATGGGGAGAGATTGGACAAGGGGCATGAAGAGTAATTACGATTTGTAGCAATATATATGCTAGTAATATTGATTTGATCAATATATCTGAATGTCGAACCCCAAAAATATGTCTAATCAATTTTGATTCAACAAATAAAATAAACTTAATAAATAAATAAAACAAAATTTCAGCTTTAAGTAGTTTTTATAACTAACTTTTCTTTAAATGTAATTAATCAAAATAATTTTATTAAAAACTATGGGCCGGCCCGGTGGCGCACTCGGTAGAGTGAGGCGCTTGAGAGCGCGGCGGCGCTCCCGCCGAGGGTTCAGATCCCATATAGAGACCAGGCCACTCACTGGTTGAGCGCAGTAGGGGCGTGACACTGAGGGTTGTGATCCCATTACTGGTCACGAAAAAAGACAAAAAGGAAAAAAAAAATTATAATATGCTCTAATTATATAATCAGTATTGTGTAGTTTTTTAAAAAGAAAATCGAATGTCTTAGGAAAAACATTTTTTTGAATGATATGAGAAACAATTTTTATTTGTGCTCCAGCCTCAGAATACCAGGAGCGTCCTGGAGAGGGTTGGGCTCACATCGTCCCCTTCAGAGACCCGCCCCCGCTCTGGCGTCCAACCACATCCCTGGAGGAGGAACAGCACCTGCCGACCCGCCTCAACCTGACCACCAGGTGGGGCAATCTGGACCGGAAGTTCTCTGGCGTCATTCATCTCTATGATCCTCCCAGCGGCCTGAGCGATCCGGAAGCCGTGGCTGGCGCAGGGGGCAGTGCTTCCGGGTGAGAGTGAGGTGACCTCCCTGCTGCCGAAGGAATCAACGGCGACAACCACCATGGGGGCGCACCTGGTCCGGCGCTACCTGGGCGATGCCTCGGTGGAGCCCGACCCCCTGCGGATGCCCACCTTCCCGCCCGACTACGGCTTCCCCGAGCGCAAGCCGCGCGGTGAGGCCCAGTGCGCAGGCGCGGCCGGCGGGTGTGGGGCGCGGGCGCCCGAACCCCCAACCCCGGAGTCCTTAGGGCTGAGCCTGAGCGTCACGCATGGTGTCGGGCTCGGCTCTGGCCTGGAGGCGTCCACAGGATACGCGTGACCTTTTGAGTGCGGAGGCCTTCTAGGCATAAGGCATGGCTTGAGCAAAACTCTGGGGACAAAAGGGGCGACAAGAGGGGGGGTGGGAGGAGCGGGAATGAATGAGACGCTCAGAGCTGGACTTAGTCCTGGGGGTAGAGGGGAGCCGCGGGAGGGTTTATCGTGGAAGGGACACGTTCACCGTTTCCCTGTCCAGATGTCACTGCTGTTTTTAGGTGTGCACAAGAAAACGAGGCGCTCACGCGCGCATCCCGTTCTGCGCGTTGCATTTTTTTATGTCGTGATATCACAGGCATCGAGCGCCAACTCTAGGCCAAGTCCCACGCTGGGCACCGCGGATACAGCAGGGGACTGGAGGGATGCAGGCGCTGTCTTTAGCCCAGTAGGGGAGGTAGTGGAACCGGGCACATCCTAGGGACAGCACCTGGGGGTTGTCTTCCAGGAGGCAGTGGCTGGAAGCACAGACTCGGAGAAGGCAGCGCCCAGTGCTCCCAAGCAGAGGAAGCACACAGTCAGATTTGCTTTGTCAAAATGTGGCGCCGGCTGCTGGGTGGACGATGAAATGACTTGGAGACAGGGAGACCTCTAAGCAGTGGATGTGCAAAGAGGTCTGGATGTGAGAGAGTGTTAGGAGGGCGTATCATCACTCCAGCGTCCCGTCTCCAGCTCGTCCTTCAGCTCCGTATGAACCAGCAGTCCATTGCCCTCCCCCCTACCACAGTAACCCTTACCGCTGTCCTTCGCACCCTGCTTTGCCCACGGTCAGCTTTGCAAACACCAGCAATCCCCTGCTTCTCTCTCTTGCTTGGCTAAACCAAAACCCTGGTTAACCCCACCTCTACCCCCGCCCCTTGGCGCCTATCCCTGGGCAGCTGGTGACAACTCTGCTGACTGGTCTAACGATTGCTTCCCCAGTTGACCCTTCGTGCTGTCCAGCCTTCCTATCACAGTCGGCCCTCCTATCTGCAGGTTCTACTTCGGCGGATCCAACCAACCGCAGATCGAAAATATTGGCGGAGGGGGAGGGTGGAAATAACGAAAAGTAGCAATACAGCAATAAGAAATAATACACATTGAAAACTATACAGTATAACAACTATTTATGTAGCATTCACATTGTGCTAGGGTTTTTTTTGTTTGTTTGTTTTTTGTTTTTTGTTTTCTAAAAGATGACCGGTAAGGGGATCTTAATCCTTGACTTGATGTTGTCAGCACCACGCTCTCCCAAGTGAGCTAACCGGCCATCCGTATATGGGATCCAAACCCATGGCCTTGGTGTTATCAGCACCACATTCTCCCAAGTAAGCCACGGGCCGGCCCCCTGTGCTAGGTATTATAAATGATCTAGAGATGGTTTAAAGTATACAGGAGGAGGGCTGGCCGGTTAGCTCAGTTAGTAGAACCTGGTGTTGATAACAAGGTCAAGGGTTCGGATCCCCATGCCCACCAACCACCAAAAATAATAATAATAATAATAATAAAAGTATATAGGAGGATGTGCATAGGTTATACACAAACACTATGCAATTTTGAGTAAGGGACTTGAGCATCCATGGAGTTTGGTATCCAAGGGGGTCCTGGAACCAATCCTCCTTGGATACCGAGGGGCAACTGTACATTCCCTGGTCTTCCACCCTCCCTTATAGACCACTGTCCCAGGCCTCCTCTCTTCTTCACACCCCCTTTCAGCCAGTCACTCTGCATCTTCTTATTAAGAAAACGGAAGCAGCCAAAAAAGAGCTCTCTAGGGCTCCCTGTCCCTCCCCACCCCCACCCTTCCTTCACACCTTTAGGCTCCTCCTTCTCACCTGTTATTCCAGGTTGATCTGCCCCCTGCTCTAGCGAAGCCACTGATGTGGGTGAACCCCCTTGTACTCTCTCTCCATCCCATCTTCTCAGCTACCCGAGGACTCTGCTCCAACTGTTCTCCCTCTCTCTTGCAACATCAGTTTTCCCATGGCCATGCACACACACTGTTACTTCTATCAGTTTAAAATCCCCTCCTGGCTCCACCTCCCCCTCCAGCTGTCCCTCTGCCACCTCACTGAAAGAGCTCTTATTAAGCCTCCCCCCATCTATATTGCTAAACCCCACTGTCACGCCTCACTTCCTATCCTCAAGGCAGTATCAGGCACAGCTGTCACCTCCTGGAAGCCCCTCCTCACCTGGCTTCCAGGACTTCACCTCGGGCTCTTATTAAGCCTCCCCCCATCTATATTGCTAAACCCCACTGTCACGCCTCACTTCCTATCCTCAAGGCAGCATCAGGCACAGCTGTCACCTCCTGGAAGCCCCTCCTCACCTGGCTTCCAGGACTTCACCTCGCTGGGGGCTCCTCCACTGATACTTCAGCATCTGCCTTTTGGACTCACTCCTTCCCTCCTCTATCCACCACTCACTCCCTGGGGGTCTCTGCTATCTGCTGGCTTGCAAGTGCCTTCTGCATGCCAATGCTCCCAAGTTTTTCTCTTCATCTGGGCCTTGCCCCTGAACTCCAGGCTCATAGATCCCATTTCCAGCTCAACGTCTCCACGCGATGTTAACAAGCATCTAGCCCTCAGCAAGTCAAAAGCAGGACTCTTAACCACCCCCATCAGGACTGCCCCTCCTTCTGTCTTCCCTGTCCCAGTTACTGGCATCTACATCCTTCCCTGTGCTCAGGCCAAAATCCTGGGGCGTCCTGACGCCTGTTCTCTCACCTCAAGGCCTCTGCACCTGTCATTCTACCTGGAATGCTCCTCCCCTTCCTCATGGTCCCAGCACTCCCTCCCTCTCCCTTTATTTTTCTCCCCGAATACTTACCACTGCCAGACGTTCTGCCACCCTCTAGGTTCTACCTGTTTGTTCTGTGTCTTCCTCCAAGAGCAGGGATACTTGTCTGTCATGTTCCCTGCTGTCGCCCCACTACCTGGCACACAGTAGATTCTCTGGCTGCAGCTGGCTGATTATGAGTTTGAGACGAGTTGGAGGGGAGTCTATGTTGCTGATGGGAGCTCCAGGTGCCAGTGGGGCCACGAAGACATGGGAACCATCAGGGGCTGCGGTGGATGCCCAAGCCTGGGACTCAGATGAGGTGTGGGGGGAGGGAGCAAGTTGGGCTCATGCCATATTGGGTGGCCACCAAAGTCATGGATAAGAAAGCAGAGAGTTCTTAGGAAGCCAGAGCTTAATGTTTGGGCAGCCGTGAGAGATGGGAGGAAACCTGGGGAAGGTGTGCGGGAGGAGCCGCGGGAAGAAAAGGAAGGAAGCGGGCGAGAGGCTGAGGAAGCCTGGTGTCCCGCATGTTGGGTGGTCCCATGAGAGCCGTGTCTGGGCAGTGGTGGGTGGGGTAGAAGCTGGAAGAGAAGGGGATGCAGGAGCAGGAGATGAGGACCTGGGCCTGAGTGGGACACAATAATCGCGGCGGGAAGCAGAGGGGAGAGAAGCCAGCCCGAGGAGGATTGCAGGTGAGACATGAGCACATTTTGATGGGGATGGGAAGGAAGGAGCTAGGACTAGGGAAGATGGCAGGAGTCGGGGAGAGGCAGGTCCCTGGGGATGCAGGAAGGCTGGGTCCTGCCAGGCTGAGAGGACAGTGAGCTGGGTGGGGATGGTTGCTGAGCTGCAGCCAGGGAAGGAACGCAGGATCGCCGCCTGCAGTGGACACAAGCCGGGGTGTGTTCGGTCTCTTGCAGGTTCATTTGTCCTGGGTCGGGTTTTGCTAGGTGGGCGGGGTACTGGGACCAAGGGCTAGTCCAGCTGTCTTCTGAGGCATGTGCCTAAGCGCTTTACCTGTGCTATGAGCTATTAGTACTCAGGTGACTTCCAAGCTGGGAACTGTTAGTCCATTCTGTAAGGAAGGAAGCCCAGGCTGAGAGGCCGTACCACCCGCCAGTGCAGAGCTGGGACTCAGGCCTGGCAGCCCAGCCCCACACTGGGGAGGGGTGAGGGAGGTGCTGGCAGAGGGTGGCTTCTGAGTGTGGGCTCTGCGGAGGGGGGCTGTGTGGAGAGTCACCGTGGAGTGAGGGGAGCACTGGGGGAGGGGAGCAAGTCTGTGGAGGTGCCCCAGGGGTGATGAGGAGCCACTCTTCTCTTGCCTGGGTCTGCCTATGTGCAAATTAGAAAAAGGGCCCCTAGAGGACAGCCACAATCTACTGCCATTTGGTGCCAAGTTGTCAATGGGAGACACCTGAGATGTGGTTCCCAGGTGCCACATGTCAGCCCACTGGGGATCCCTGGAACTGGGGAAGGGGGACTACCCTCTGGTAGTTAGGCCCCAGCCAGCCCACCCTGGCTGAGCCCTGCCTGCCCCTGCAGAGATGGTGGCCACACAGCAGCAGATGGACGACGCGCAGCTGAGGCTCCAGCAGCGGGACTACTGCGCCCACTACCTCATCCGGCTGCTCAAGTGCAAGCGTGACAGCTTCCCCAACTTCCTGGGCTGCAAGCATGAGCAGCACGACTGGGACTACTGCGAGCACCTCGAGTGAGCCCCAGACCCGCCCCAAGGCTCTGGCCCAGAGGCCAAGGACAATGAACTGGGGTTTCTAGCCTGGCCTCACCTTAGACCAAAAGAGGAATCTTAAAGGGTCTGTTGGGTGGGGATGGAGGAGTCTGGGTGGGACAGGTGGCTGAAGCCACCCAGGTGAGAGGTCAAGCCAGCCTCCCAGTGGGAGGCCCCGCCCCAGAGAGAAGCCTTCAACGCCAGCCCGGGGCTCACTGGTGTCCACCAAGGAGGCAAAGGGTTGAGTCAGACCAAACCAGCCAGCACCTGCTTGCGGGTGCCCCAGAGAGAAACCACAGGGACACAGGTCTTTCCTACTTGGAGGCCTCCCCCAGAGTGCTCTGGGACATCTGCTCCAGTGCTATCCACTTCCCAGGGCTATAGGAGGGCCATGTCCTGGCCAGGGAGCCTGACAACCCTCCTTGTTCTCTGCCCCCAGCTATGTGATGCGCATGAAGGAGTATGAAAGGGAGCGGCGGCTGCTCCAGCGGAAGAAGCGGAGGGAGCAGAGGGAAGCAGAGGTGGCCAGAGGCCAGGAGTCCGCACAGTTGAGTCCCGACGCAGTCCTGTAAATGGTCCACTCACCACACTGTGGACCAGTTAAAGAAATAAAAGCCTCCAGGCTCCTTAGCCCAAGCCTTACCTCTTACTGCACTGCTGGGAGGGTGTGGAAGGTGCCAAGGGCAGAGTAGTGGTCCCCCAAGCCCACAAAAGAAACACACGGAGCATGAGTCCAACTGGGACAGGCAGGTTTTATTCCAGGTGCTGGAGAGCTCTGGCCCCCACTCCTCCCCAGGACAGCACTGGGGTGGGAGAATGAGAGGCTGGCTTGGCTGAGCCCAGGTGGAGTGAGCAGCTCAGAGCAGGAACGGGATGATGGGCATGCGCAGGGGCGGGTAGTCACGGAACTCCTTCAGGTAGCTGCGGTGCTTGCCCTTGGCCCAGATGGTCATCTGGGTGAAGCCCACCAGGGAGAAGAGGGCCACTGTGGGGCAGAGCAGGGGGTGTCAGGGATGGGCTGCACAGCCTGGATGGACAGGGCCCCACTGAGGGAGGGGCAGTAGGCTCACCTGGGAGACACTGTGTCATGATGGCAAAGCCAATCCAAGACCCCACCTGTGGGCAGAGCAGGCAGCAAAAAGAATGGGCAGGGCTAGGCAGCGCCAGCTGTTTGTCCAGGCCTCGCCCACCCCTGTGCATATGGCTGCCCAGGATTCAGCCAGCCACCTCCCCCCACCCCTACTTTCTGAGTGAAGGAGTGGGAACCAAAACCCAATGCTACAGGTACCCTAAATGGAGGGTGATACTATATGACAGAGCTGCCCCTCAACCACCGATGCCTCCCAACCCCAGAGAGCCACAGTCTCCATCTCCAAATGCTCCAAGCTCAAACTACAAAAACAGGTGCTGAGCTAGGTGCCCCCTCCACATGGGACCCCAAGTCCCAGGGCTGCCCTGATCTCCCCTCACCTCATAAGTGTAGTTGGGGCAGGACACCAGCAGAAACAGCCACGTGAAGGGGTTCTTGGTGGGATACGGGATCTTCCTGGTCTTGGACCCTGGCAGGCATGGCAGGAGGGAAGAGTTAGACGCCTTCACCCAGCTGCCCAGCCCACAGCTATCCAGCCCCCAGCAGGCCACTCACCTGCGGGTCGCAAGTCCCGCAGGGCCATGTGGATGGAGAAGTTGCCAAGCTGGCAGATCTGTCAGAGGAGCAGGATCAGCCCAGAGCCCCCTGGGCTCCCCCGACACCATCACCTCCCCAGCCTCCTTACCACAAAGATGGCGAGGGCCAGTTTAACCTGCTGGGCTCCATAGGCTGAAGAGGAAGCAGGGAGAAGCCATGAGGGGAGAGCCCGGTGGGGGTGGGGACTCGCGGCGGGAGCATGGTCTGAGGGCACTTACTGGGGGGCGTGTAGAGAGGGTGGTTGATGTAGTAGGCCATCCACGCGGCAAAGCCCCAGTAGTAGGTGCAGTTCTGCAAGGGAGCGGGACGAGTGGCAGGTGGGCCAGCGCGGGGG